AAAATTGCGTTCATTCATCTAAATGCTGTACATTCTTGTCCATGAATTTCAGACTCGATGGTTTCTCTTTTTTTGTTGTTGTTGATGTGCATGGATACTATGCATCTCTCGAAAGAATGTTAGTTATGATTTAGTAGGCGACGCTAGGTTCTATTTCATCTAAGCATCGGTAAGTAGTCTTAGTGACTAAACGCCACACAACCTTAGACAACAATGTATTCAAATGTGATCATAGCGCCTGGCTAGCAATCACCAGTGTTTGTTATGTCGACCCTCAGGGAAGCCAACGCTCAAATTGGATTTTCCCGCATTTACATAGCTGGCCTCGCCTCGCTCGGGGCCGCGCGCGCCGGTGGGTGGGTGGGGGGTCTGCTGACTTTTGCTTATGTCTACACACGTACAAATACACGCACGAACACATGCACACACTCACACACACACACACATGCACACACACACATACACACACACACACACATACACACACACTCATACTCTCTCTCTCACACACACACATTCATTCACTCACGTACTCATTCACTCACTCACACACTCATACTCTATCTCCCCCCCTCTCTCTCTCTCTCACACACACACACTCATTCACTCACTCACGTACTCATTCACCCACTCACTCACTCACTCACTCACACACACACACACACACACACACACACACACTCACTCACTTCCAAAACGTGATGATAATAGAACAACAAAAAGGCGCAAGGAATGGCAGCTAAAAGAGGAGATAAAACACCGTCATATTTCTGAGAAGATGAAACAGGAATATTCGTATTTAGAGGCTGGGGTACAAAATCAGCTGGAACGTGTGGAAAGCAAGGAGATATGTATTTATTCTGAGTACAAATGTAAGTACGTAATAATGATGATGAAGTAGCAATAACAGCAGTGATAAAAAAACAAGGATAATATATAGACGCGTAAACACAAATACACACATATAAGAATAAAGCATAGACTGTGTTTCCAATAACCGATGTAGCAATCTCTCGTTGTAGAATTGCATACATCCATATTACCACGCTCTTGAAAGACAACGAATATTAGATTATAATTAAGAAATAAATCTTGCTTAATTATCCTTTTTATACACATAAAACTTTAAATCAGAATCAGAATTATTCAAACATGCATTTCCTTCATTATTTTTCACTTGTTTATTTATTGTTCGTTTGTCTCGGCCTCATGATTATTACACAATATATATTTTTTTCTACGCTCTTCCCAAATGACCTTAAGACGGCCATAAACACAAGGAGAGATGTGCAGCCAACCAAGGCCACGAGGGCTTTAGAAAAATGTCATAAAATTCCCAAATGCGAGCGTAAACAAGGCAGAAGACGTATATACTTGTGTATTTGCAGAAAGGCTTCAGAGATCAGGTTCTCATGGCCAGACGATAAGGCACTGAGGTAGGTTCCATGGGGGATAGGGGGAGGGGGTGGGGGGAGCGTGGAAATAGGGAATGGGGTAGGATAGGCACTCGGAGGGGGGGGGGTGCAATGGGGATGGGGAATGGAGGACGGGGTAGGATGGGCACTAGGGAGAGGGCAGTATAGGCACTCGAGAGAGGATTCAATGGGTTCTGGGGAATGGGGATAGGAAATGGGGGAAGGATTGAATGGGAAATGGGGAGAGGAAGGGTTAAGGGCATGGGCTAGTATTGAAAGAGGGGGGGGGGGGGAGGCGTTAGATATAAATAGGGGAGAGAGAGAGCAGAGCGGGAATAGATATGTAGCTTACGGAGTAGGATGGAGGAAGGACGTGAAGGGGGGGGATCGTGGGTGGGAGATAAGGGAGGGAGCGGGGGGGGGGGGGGTGTTGGAGAACCTTATATGCTCTTTACACACATAACATGCCAGACAAGATCATGCTATGTGCAACGGCCATGCACCAGTGAGCAGAGAGACGGTAAGTATGTCTTATCAGACCAAATAAACTTTTCTCACAAGGAAAAAACAACTTGGTTTTAAAAGCTAACGGAAGAAAAATAGACATGCATTCAAACACGCATACACGCACATGACAAGCACACGCACACTCACGCACACAATGGTTATCACTAGCTACGATAACAATAACTATTTTATGCCATTCACATGATTCACATCATTATTGTCTTTATACTTTTACCACTACAGTTATTGTCATTATTATCATTACTGTTATTAGTATCATTATTATTACTATTATTGTTCAGATTAACATTATTATCATTGTTATTATTAATATTATCATATTGTTATTATCATTATTATTATTATCATTATTATTGTTATTATTATCATTATTATTTACTATTATTGTTGTTATTATGATTGCTATCATTAGCATTATTATTATTGCTATAATTATTATCATCATTATTATTATCATCATATTCATTGTTATTGCTATTGTTATTATCTTTATTATATTATTATTATTATCATTATTATTATCGTCATCGTTATCATTATGATTATTATCATAATTGTTATTAGTAGTATCGTCATCATAATCATCACCATCATCCTCATCACTATTATAACTGTTATTGTCATTATCATCATTATTGTTCTTGTTATATTTACTATTGTTGTTATTATCATTACTAATATCATTGTTATAATTATAACCATGATTATACTAATGATAATCGGTAATTGTAGTAATAGTATTATTATGATTCATGAAAATAATGATCATGATAATGAATGGCTGATAATGATGTCTACTCTGCTTATATTATTCTTTCATTATCATCATCAGCATGTTAATAACAAGTTGATAAACATATGAGGATTGATTACCTTTTGAGAACCAGAGAGGAAAGCGAAACTTCTGCGTCATTTTTCCTACCGTAAATATAATGATTTTGTGAAATAGAGTTTTCTTGGTTAACAGCTGATCCCGTGGCAGTTGATGCTTGTGTCCGAACTTCTTGGAATAGAACA